CCCCCCGTGGCAGGTTGTTATGTCAGCAGGCAGCTTTCTTGCAAAAGTTTGGTTTTTCTTCTTTTTTTCCAGTAGAGAGGGGAGAAGTCGGAGGAAGAGAAAGCCACTGCTATTAATTGAAAATAAAAGTTTTTGAAATCTGTATGGACCTATTTGAGTACACACCCTGTATTTGTGTTTCTGACACAGAGTCGCCCAGTCAAATGAGCATGCCTTCAGGGCTGGGCCTTCTCCCTGGGCCTGTCTGTCCTCAGGACCCAGCATGGTGCCTGGCACAGTGTGAGGGCTTAATGACTGTTTGGGGATGGATTGATCGAGTGTGCCTAAGTTCCAAGCACTGTACTTGGAACTGGGGGGACCCAAAGGCAACCCCTGAACAGTGCCTCATGACGTTCTGCAGAGGATAGACGTGGATTCTGGTGGCCCCAGGTACAAAGTCATTGGAGTCACTCGTGAGGGGCCACAAGAAAGGGCCTACTGAGCCTTGAGGGAGAAATGAGGAGAGCAATCACTCCAGGCATGGGCCAAGGCCAGGTGCAGATAGATGGTGTATGTGGGAATGGCCAGGAGACCATTTGGGAGATCGAATGAGGTCTGGGCCCATGGAGAACTCTGAGGGAGGGGGCAGGCTTCTTGTGAGGCCAGATAGTGGCCAAGGCTGGGGAGGGCATTGCCAGACAGTGGCAGGCATGATGATGTGAGAGAGGGATGCAGAGGGGCGAGCACGGTGGACTTCCAAAACTTCCAGAAGATCCTATGGTGCCGCATCCTGGCTGAGGACACTGTAGACCAAACCCTCTGTAGCAGGGGCCAAATCCCTTCCATCCCTAACACAAGGGTTTCTCCCCCCTCACCTCCCTTGGGCCACCAGACTCAGAAGACTCAAGGGGACTGGACCTCATACCCCAGCACAGACAAGCAGGCTGGTGCTGGATAGCCAGAGGCCCCAGCCCCAACTCTGCCCCCATCAGCCAGGGCCAGAGTTCCCCTCCCTCCTTTCTCCCTCTCTTCATCAGGGGTCAGTCTCACATCAAGGTCACCAACAGTGACAGAGCCCACATTTAGAAAGCCCCTTCTTTGTGAAACGGGAAGCAGCTTACAGATTCGGGCGGGAAAGGGCTGGGGGAGAACTATTCAGTAACCGGAGGACAGCCCTAGAAGCCTGTGTGGGCTACCCTGGGGCCTCGCTGCTGTTTCCAGGGGAAGGTGCCTCCTGATCTCCCACCAATTTCAGGGCCACAGCCTGTTTCTGAGCGGTGGGTGGTCCGGGCAGCTCCTTGCCAACCACAGACCTGCAAGTTAAGGACCAGCCAGCCCCCTCCTCCAGCACAGCAAATGCTAGAGGCCGTCTCGGTGAAAACAGGAAGCAGCTAGCTGGCCAGAGCAAGCCTGGGGACACCAGCCAAGCCTGCCCCACCCCCACCAAGGTGTCAGCCCAGGGAGTCAGAAGGCTCAAAAAGTCCAAGTTAGAGCCAGTTATTTCTAACCAAAAAGTCACAAGAAAAGGCAGGAAGAGAAGTGATTCTTATGAAGTCTGGGGGCCTTGAAGGTCCCTCCAAAATGTGGATTAGATTGGATTGGGGCCAAAGAGAATCTGGGCACAGCCCAGGCCCTCTTCCCCTTAGGCTTTCACATTTACATAGAATATTTGGGGTTTGATGGGATGCTATCAGGGGTCTCCTGGCCATAGCTGTGCCAAGCTCCTGTGCAGTTTGGTTAAGCAGACCCTCTAGGGAAGATTTGCTGGTCCTCCTGCTCCTACATCAGATGCTGCAGAGGAGAAATCAGGTGATGGTAGAAATTGAAAGGAGCATTCTGACATTGGTCAGCAAAGAGTCAGACTGAGAGACTGGAAGGGCAGCAGAAAAGACAAAGTGTTAAGAAGGCAGGCTGTAAATGCCTGAGGTCTTCACCGGCCAGGTGGCTGGGTGTGCACCACACAAAGGCTACAGGCAGTCCCTGAGCTATACACTATATCTGGCAGACCTGCACCTCAGTGGGGAGGAATGATCTGCACTGTAGCTGAAGACTGGCTGATGGCACCAGAGGGCAGGCTGAGAGCTACAGGGGGCAGAGACCAGAGCAACAAGACCAGCTGAACTCAGAGAAGACAGCAGCTCACCCAACGACATCCCCAGAGACACTGGATGCTCTTCCATATCAGAGGGGTGAAGTGCCCCAGGCACACAGGAACCCTGAGCACACACAGCTCATTCTGTCTGTGTGCCTTCCCCCATGCGTCCTGGCCACCTAGGCCCCCTACTCTGATGCTCTTCCCTATGCGCCTGCTTCTGTCACTGGTGGCATGGTAAAGGTGCTAGCAGAGGTCACCCCTATGTGGATGGCAGCTCTCTGTGCTCACTCATTTTGCTCTGCTCTTTGACAAAATGTCTTCTACTTTGACTAAGTGTGCCTTCTGCTTGATTGAGTGTATGTAAACACATCCCTGGGGCTCCTGAGCTGCAGTCTGAGTGGGTCCTGACCTCTCAGATGCAGAGCAGTTTGTAGGAGCCCTTATGGCAGGAGAAAACTGGGTGCTACATACTCTCCACTCTGGCTTGTTCATGTCTGCCTTCAAATGTGACCTTATGAACTGAGCGCAATATTTCTAATGATTTCTGAATTCAATACAAGGCAATCATGATTTATTAGGCACCTACTCTGTGCAAGACAGAGGACAGAAAGACAAAATGACAGTATTTGCCCTCAAGGAGCTTGCACTCTATTGGGGAATATGTCACGTGTATAGAGAGTCAACATAAGGCAGGGTAGAGGCAAAGGAGGGATCAGACAAAATGCTCTTGGAAAATCAGAGAGAGCAGCCACTTTCCTCCCAGGCCAGGTCCAACAGAACAGGGACTGTCAAAACATACCTCATTCTGGACACCAGGACACTTTGCTGCTTCCCTCAGAAAAAGAGATCCTTCTATCCAGGAATCTCTGACCAATAACCCCTCCCACATATAATCCCATTCTACCTTGTGTCCTAGGACTCAGTTTAAGTCTCTGATCTCTCCATTGAACCAAGAGCTCCCTGAGGGCACAAGGCTTTGTAACCCCAAAACTGAGCACAAGGTCCTGCACACAGGTGTTTAATGACACTATTCTGGCTCAGACAGAAATGTCATTGAGAAAGGAGGAGAATATGCTGAAGGAAGTTTAGGGGGTCGCTTGAGAAAGAAGGAGGTACAAGAGGAGGAGGAGGAAGAGGAAGAACAGAAAAAGAAAAGGAAGGGAAAGAAGGCAAGAGGAAAGGGAGAAAGAGGAGAAGACAAGGTGGGAGAGGAAGATGAAGGGGAGGAATAGCCAGAGAAGACTGAGGGAGAGAGAAGCAGGAACATCCCCCCCCCCAAGTATGAGACATTCAGCCAGAGGCCTTTAGCCTGGGGTCACTTCAGTGTAAGAGCTCATCCTTCCACTGAGGGAGGAAGAGGGGTCTCTTTCCCAAGGGGCATTTCTCTGGTTCTCCTCTAGCCCCCTTGGTGAAGGGGGAGACAGGAAAAACAGATCAGATCACTGCTTCCAGGCCAGAGCCCCCATATCCTTCAGATAAATACAAAGCTTTTCTTGGCTGATTTTTTTTTTAATAAAATACATAAAACAATGTAGACTTGTATTTATGGGAAGACCATTGACTGACCAAGACTAAGGCACAGAGGCTGACAGACTGACCAAGAGCGTCCTCACATGTCTGTATTCACATATTTCTCTCCCTCTCCTGCCTGCCTGCCTGTCACTTACACACACACACACACACACACACACACACACACACACACACACACACACACAAACACACACGCCATCGCTTGCATTTAAACCAGAGCTGGGGTTTGCTCTCTGAGGTTACCACTCAACGGCCATGCAGCCCTTCAGGAGAAGTAAGAAACAAGCCCCCAGGGGAGGCCTCCACACCAGAGGCCAAAGTCGCAGAGTCACAGAGGGAGGCTCTCTGGGCAAATCTCTGGGTCCTGAGAGGAAGCCTTCCTGAGAGGCTTCACGGCATCATTCCCCGCTTTCTGCGCCCACCCATCAACCTAACACAGGGCAGCCCCAGGGTTCCCCAGTAGGAGGCTCTCGGGCAGTCTCCTCTGACCAGGGCAGGGGTGTCATTGCGAGGGCTTCCAGGGACCCAGGGCGAGGTGACCTCTACCTTAGATGGCTGCCCATCACCTGCCTGGGCAGAGCAGAGCACTGGCTGGAGTGGGGAGGGAAAGGGGAAGAGACCTGAAGCCAGGACTCCCCACCCCACCCAACCCAGCTTACCCTGAAGTTGAGGTGAGTGGAGGAGGAGAAAGAAGAGAAAGCAGGACGATCAGACCTTTCTCCAGTCCCAGGGCCTGGGAGGTCACCCAGGGAGCAGGGTAGTCTGGGCAGGAACCCTGTGCTGGCCGCCTCCACTGAGGGTAGTGGGTTTCTGCACTGCAGGGCGGTTGGCAGCTCTCAGGGGACGCAAGCTCGTTCCCACCGAGGCCAAGGTTCAGGCTGGGTCTCTGGGGCGGACCGGCCCGCCCCACAGTTTTCGGGCTGCGAGTGCTGTGGACTGTGGCCGGTCAGTTTCAGCTGGATGTCCGAGATGATGGGCGCCCTCTTTTCCCACTCTTCCCCCTTCAGGCCTTGCCCCGCCTCTCATGGCTCCATCCGAGCCCTGCCCTCAGTAGTAGCGGTTCAGGCTGCGGGTGGCCGGGCCGAGGGCCGAGGCCGCTCCGTCGGGCTGCCCGTTCAGCCAGATCTCGCGGATAATGCGCTCCCTCTCCTCCAGCCGCTGCGCCCGCTCCAGCTCCTCGGCCGAAGTGAACACGTTCCTGTGAGGCGGGCGCTCGAAGAGCCAGGGCCTGCGCGTGGAGCCGTCCGAGGAGCCCGAGCAGCCGCCGCCGCTGTCCTCGTCGCTGTCCTCGTCGCTGTCCTCGTCGCTGGCGCTGGCGCTGAGGTCGCCGCTGCGGCTCCGGCGCCCGGCCAGGCCCTTCTTTCCATGGGGCTGCCGGCAGTCAGCGCGGCAGAAGATTGTCAGCACGAGGGCGGCCAGCGTGAGCAACAGCCCCACGCACACGCCGGACACGAAGCACAGGGCGGCCCGTTCGGGGTGCTCTGCAAGAGGAGGAGAGGGCGTCAGAGGGCTGGGACGGTGCACCCGACCCGCACCCAGCTCGGGCAGCCCCGGCCGCTGCCCCTTCCCCGGGTCCCTCAAAACCTAGTATTCGTCTTTGTTCTCCTTCTGTCTGTGCTGCCGATGCTTAAATGTGACCTTGTCCCCACCATTGAACATGAGTTCCTTCCGAATGGGTAATATTTCATGCTTTGGTCTCCTATCTCCAGCGGCCCAGCATCACGCTGCTACCGCCCCACGAGACCTGCCCAAAGTTTCCTGGGCAGGGAGGCTCAGGGTGAGCTTGGGGTTGGGCCGGCCTTCTATCGTTTAAAATGGACCTCCCATGAGATGGGGGGGAGGGTGGGAACGAGAGCAAAGGGCCGCTGCCAGTCGTCCGTCTGTGACTGCTGTCCAAGCAATGCTAGTGCCGGGTGATCCCAGACACCATGACCGCCTTCTGCCCTCCTCCTGCACTCCTGGCTCCCCTCCTCCTCACTCAAACATCACTGGGCTCCAGCAAGAAGGGCTGACCTCCCGATCAGGTTCCCCGATCCTGCCCCTTCAATCTTCTTCCTTTTCTGAATTTTCTGCCTCACCGGAGTTTCCATGATGAGCCCCAAAGTCAAGGGTACAGCCCTTTCTGTGAATCTCTCCAGTCCCTGCTACCTTCTCTAGCTGGTGAGCCCCACCTCCTTCCCTGAACTTAACCAAGAGGACTTTTGAGGGAAGGGACCTAAATCCTAAGCAAGCTCAAAATTGCCCAATGCCACCCATAAGAATATTGTCCTAGGATGCCTCCTGGCCTGATGCAGAAGCCCCCAGCCATGCCACAGCTTCCCTCCTCAGCCTGCTCACACCTGCCAGGCCCTCTCCTTGTATATACATGCCTCACCCCTGGCCCAGAGGCTCCTCAGGCTAACAGGAAAATGTTTCCAGCCTCCCTGCTGAGCCTGTTTCCCCATCTCCCAGATATCTAAAACGCAGAGAGACAGTCAGTATCCACAGCCTGGCCACAGACCTTGCTTACTACAGGAGACCCACGCCTTTGGGCCAGCTGATGCTCTCAGAATGGACGGCAGCAACAGCGTGATTCAGGGAGAAGACTGAAATGGACGGGGTGCTCCAGGCACAAAGGCTTAGGAGAAGAGAGGAGAGGCCTGTTCCAAAGCCTGCAGCCGGCTTGGTGGGGCCCGGAAGAAGGCAGAGCTACTGGGCTCAGATGCGCTGACCACCTGTCTCCTCCTCTCTTTCATGCCTTTTCCAGGGGCCTGCCCATGCAAGCAGATAGCAAAGATTTATGAAGTACCTACAGGGTAATTTTCAGGGAAATTTAGGGGAGGGCTCCGAAGTGGCGTCCTGCATCTGAGGCCCTATCTCTAGACTAGAGAGGAGAGATTTCACCTGAAGCATGAAGGGTTTCAGTGGGTTAAGGACAAGAAGAGTCTGGGGAGAGGATCCACAGCCTGGATTCAGGAAAACTGAGGTTCAGGTCACCCTTTAGCACTCCCCCACCAGGCTGTGTGACTCCAGGCCAGTTCCCTAACCTCTCTGTGCCCTAGGCAAATACTCTAATGGGCAGCCCAGTGTCCATCTGCATTGGCAGAGGGAGCAATCAACCACAAAGGAAGGCTTGTGAGGACACAAAACATTCAGACCAGCAGCGCCGCCCTCCATTTACAGATGTGGACCTGAGTCTCAGACAGGTCCCAAGGAAAGCACTCACAGAGCCAGGTAGTCTGGATGCCTGATTCCAGATGAGGATGGGCTGTGTCTGCCTGGGAGGGGGGGCAGAAGGGGCCCCGCACTCAAGAGGGGGCCAAATGTGGCCTGGGTAGCTCAGGATCAGGACCTCCAATGGACTCTACTCTTGAAGCAGCCCCAGAGGCCTCTGAGGACCAGAGGCAGAGCCCAACACCCACCCGTGAGGGGAGGTGACCGCCGGTGTGCAGGACAGAGCACCCCGGGGCCAGTCCTTCCCCTCACTGGCCTTCTATAAAGGGGTGCCCCTTCACACGAGGCAGCCTCAGAAGCCCTTCCAACTCGAGAGTCTGGTCCTATTTGGGCAGCCCCAAACACATCTTGGCCAGCAATGCAGAGGCTTCATGCAGTGGAAGGGAGCTGAGGGAAAGCCCCTGGCCCGGAAGATCAGGCGGGATTATCTAACAATTCCCCTGGGGTGTCCCAGGGCTGTCCTCTGATGTCCAGGAGGGGCTGGCTTCAGAGCAGTGGGCACAACCCAAACTAACCCTCCCCCCATGCCCCAGGCTGGCTCAGAAGGCCCATCACGCCTGACTCAGTCTCTCCACTAGAGGGCTCTCTGCACCCACTATGCTGGGCCCGGCAGGGCCGGCCTGACGGGAGAAGCCATCATCTGGTGTGTTAGCAGCAGGACCCTATTCACAGAGCCAAGAACCTCAGAGCCACAAGGGCACCCCTGTCCAGCCCCCCTAACGTGATGTCCAACCTGCATCTCTCCAAGCAGCCCCTGCACGAGACGACAGACCAGCTCAAAGAAGTCCAGGGCTTTGCACCCCCTACCCCACCTGGCCACAGCTCTCATGTTGGGCAGGTTTTCCTGACTTGGAGCCTGAATCTGCCTCTTCTCCAAACAGAACAAGTCTGGACCTTCCACAGGACACCCTCTCAGACCCCTGGGCAGCCGTGTCCCACCTGGGACTGGGGGGTCACACTGTCCTCCAGCTTCCTCAGCCCAGGCCCCTGAGCAGGTTGCCCGGTGCTAAAAGGCTGCTTTGTCATCCACCTGGCCATAATTGTAACTGCTCAGTCACAAACTCCCTTCCTTGCCCCTCCCCCACATGGGCTGTCTTCCCAGATGAAAATATAGGCTGCATGAGGGCAGGGAAGGTCTTGGTTTTGTACCCGGCTTCCCAGAACACAGCCCAGCATCTAGGAAGTGCTTAATTGATGATTTTTTCATTCATTCTCAAGTCTTCCTTCTCCTGACTAAATGTGCCCCTTCTTCTACAGATGCTTATGACGCAGCTCAAGGGCTTTCCCCATCCTGGTCACTGTTCTGCTAGTATCAATGTCCTTCTCAAGCCTTAGTGGCCAGAGCCAAGCAAGCACTCCAGGTGTGGTCTGAGCAAAGGCAGAGCACGGAGGGACTCTCACCTCCTTTCTGAGCCCTTGGCCTTCTGAACGCAGCTCAGCCGGGTCACACCTGATGCATCAGTGCACTTACTAAGAGATTAATTATTCAAAAGAAAAAGAAAGAATAATAAGCGTGCAAATGAAATGACTTAGCCCTGAACTAATGAAAACCAGAAATAGAAATGACCAACAACATTGGTGGCAAACGTAATGATTTTATCTAGAGGTTCAACAACCACAAATCAATCACCACAGCAAGAAGCCCAAAGAAGCCCAAAAAGGACCAGAGTCAGGAAACACCTAGCTTCCTGGCCAAACAGGGAGGGCGGCCTTAGGCAACCCCAGGGGAGGCTATGAACTCATCTGTAAAATCTTGCAAAGAGTGATGTGGATTGCTGTGCATCTCATAAAGCACAGAGAAGCGGAAAAAAGCTTGGCAAGATATTCAACGAAGTAAAGCCACTATGTGGAAGGACATTGAAGGGCAAAAATGGGAGAACTAAAAATAAGAAAAATGCAGAAAATTTGCAAAAATCATGGGAACAAACTTTTCTCCCCCAAGGACGGTGGTCCACTTGGACCCTCAAAAGGTCAGATTCAATGATGACGGTGTTGAGGGATGGCTAGAGGATGGCATATAAAGGGCAGGGTAGAGTTCCTGTGGAGAACTTTTGGAAGAACACAGACAAGAGTCTTGCCAGATAGGAAAGCAGAGATGTGCTGTTGAATTGATGAGATTCCAGAGCCCTTGAAGTATTGGGGATCCCCCTGCTGACTCAGAGTGAGCTTGGAAACCACTGACAGTCTGCTCCCTGGTCCTGCCTCCGCCATCTTGGAAATCTTATCATTGTGATTCAAGTATTAAGACTGCATCAAGGGGGCAGCTAGATGGTGCAGTAGATAGAGCTCCCGCCTTGGAGTCAGGAGGACCCGAGTTCAAATTCGACCTCAGACACTTGATACTTACTAGCTAGGTGACCCTGGGCAAGTCATTTAACCCCCATTGCCTCACCAAAAAAAAAAAACAAAACAAGACTATATTGATCCCTATTTCATCTCAGACACCGGCTGACTCTCAGCATCCCAAACAAGCAACCTTTCCCCCAGCCTCATCTTCCTCTTCAGGACCTCATCACCTTCCCAGTCACCCAAGGGAGTTACTCTTACATACAACCAGTTGCTGAATCTTGTCAACCTAACCTGCACCACATCTCCATCCCCTGTCTCCACTCCCATGGCCAACACCCTGACTTCAGACCCTCCTCCCTCCCAGCCAGATCGCCTCTCCCTGACCCATCCATCCTCCGTGCCACTGCCAAAACCACCTTTCTTAGGAACAATGCCATGTCACTGCCCTGTTCAAGAAGGTTCCATGGCTCCGTACTATCTCCAGGACAAAATGCAAGCTTCTGTTGGGACACCTTCAAGCAGCACGTGCTTCAGCCCAGGTGTTCTTCCTCCTGTCCCCCACGCCACACCCCAGGACTGAAAAGCACCCCCTTCTCACCTCTTATAGTTCTTTAATCCCTTCAAGGCCAGCTTGGGCACCACCTCCTACAGGAAGCCTTCCCTGACTGAGGAGCCTAGCTCTCAGCACTCCCTCCCTCCTTCCCCTAAGACTCTGGTCCTATTTACCTGTGGTGTCTGCCCCTTGCCTTGGGGGCAGGAGCAGGTTTTTGTTATTGTCCTTGTACCCCCAGAACCAAGCACAGTGCCCAGCACACAGGAGGCACTGAAGCAATGCTTAGTGAATGGAATGAAATGGAATTGATCCTGTCTGATTCAGCTCCAGCTTGTGTGGACCTTCTGCTACCCCTTGCTGCAGTGCTCCCTTAGGCTACCTCGGTCCTGCTCTCCAGGCTGTTATCCAGACCTGATGAGAAGCTCA